GATGATGATGATGATGATGATGATGATGATGATGATGATGATGATGACAACGATGAGGATGATTTCCAAGCATTATTCTTTCCTTGGGGTGGTAGAGGTGAGAGTGGAAGGTGTTTTCTCCTCTTGATTTTAATATCCTATTCTTTTAGTATGTATTTTCCAGAATTGAATATTCTTAATATTAGAAATTTTTTAAAAATATTCACAAGGAGTCATATGTTCAAAACCTTGTAGGTATTACAGTGTATTTTTCCACAGTAAAGTGGGAAAAGCGCTGGATTTTTGGTCAGTGGACCTGGGTTTGAATCCTGACTCCGCTATGTTACCTGTACAAGCACAGGCAAATGATTTAACTTCTTTGGACTTCAGTTGCCTCATCTTTAAAATGAGAATGGTTAGACTAGAGGTCCTTTAAGGTAGGTCCCTTCTAGCTTCAAGCTTATTGTCCTGTGATCTATGAAGCTTTTCTCTGCTTCCTTTCTCATATGCAGTCAGTTACCAAGTCCTGTCAATTTCACCTCTGTACCATCTCTCATCCCTCTCATAATCAATACCCTGGTGAAGTACTTATAACTACCCATATGGACTATTTACTAACCTCCTACCAGGCTTCATCCCCTTTGTGACTTCTCAGTTCAATCTATCCTTTTGAGAGAATAATCTGCCTCATGTACAGATTTAGTCATGCAATAGCTATCTTTGAAAATCTTCCACACTACTTACAGCTATTTAAATAATATCCTGATTCCTTTTTCTGCTATTCAAGGGTTTTTCATTACCCTACTTTCCCAACCTTGTGCCGTCCTACCTGTTTCTAGTCTTGTTTCATTATTACTTACCTCCATACATACTCTGAGCTCTCTCCAAACTAGATTATTCTCTATCTCCATCAACATGCCCTGAATTTTCCCTTCTGTGTCTTTGTTCCAGCTCTCCCTTATGCCACGAATGTCCTCCCTTTCCCTTTTTAGTCTAAATCAAATGCAAACTCCTCCATGAAGTATTCTCCAATCTTCTCTTTTGGTATCAACTTGCCCCTTCAGATTTCACTGATGATCTATTATTTTGTATTGTACAAGAATTTCCTGAGCCAGCTCATACCAGTTTGAGAGAGCCAATTGTTAAAATTTCAGAGTGAGCATTTACACCTCAGGAACTGGCACATGCTACAAATCAGGTCTGGATTTATTGTTTTGTTGATTGTCTAGACTTAAAGTGATGGAGAAAGTATTAATAATGCAGATTAAACTTAAAAGTACGTCCTGTTTGCATTTTTTTCAAAGAGAGGTAGTTGTTAAACATTAACCAGAAAAACTCTCATTACAGTTATCTATAATTGTTTCTTTTTTTTTCTAATTAGACTGTAAGTTCCGTGGTGGGTGGAGAGGATGTGTTTATGTTTTAGATAAACTCTGTTTCTCCCCTATACCTAATGCAGTACTATGCAAATAATTATTAAAGACACCAACAATAAACTGAGCCTCAGTTCAGTTAAGTGATTTGCCAAGGTCACATAGCTAACAGGTTGACCAGGATTCAAGAGACCTTGGTTCTCACTGTGTGAGAGGTTTCTCTGAGCCTTGGTTTTTCCATCCATTAAAGAAAGTGGTTTGACTAAACAGTCCCTTCCAGCTCTAACATTCTGCACTTTCAGAAGATTCATTGTGATCAAGTCAAAACCCCTTGAGAATTATAGATAATCTGACAATAAACAAGCTGTCCGAAGACTTTCCTTCCCTCCCAGACTATTTCCCAAAGCTGTTTTTAAACCTGAAGGACAAATCCAGCTTTGTAAAGCTGACTTTAAATTCACATTTGACATTTCATAAACACGGGACATTTAGGTAAGATCTTTTTTTTAATACTTTAAGAGACTGACACTGCACACACAAAAGAATGTCAGTGCTGGATAGTCATGGGGGAAATCACATGGCTAACTTCTGAATGCCTAATTATTGATTCTAATTAAGTAAATGAATGTGATTACATAAAGCCTTTCAAACTTTCATTAATTAAAGCCCAATAGCAACAGCAGAAGACAGAGCATTTTATATGAACTAAAGAACACTCCATCCAATGTCAGATTAAGTTTTTTTTAATCTTAGATAAAAATTATCTCTTATTTTAAAGGAGAAACTTATTTTATACCCCCCCCCACACACACACACGTACGCACATGCACACATATATAGCCCTTGAGGAAAAACACTGTTTGATTTTCATCTTTGTATTTATCCCCAGTGCCTACCACAGTGCCTGGTATACAGTAGGTGCTTAATTAATGCTTGTTGGTTGCTCAATTGTTGACTATGTTGTAGAACGGATTCTTTTTCAAGTATGAGTTTGACAAGATAGTCTCTGAGATTCTTTCTTGACTCTAAGATTCTGTGAGTCTATAAACTTATGAATGAGGAAATTGAGGTCTGCCCTGGCAAGGAATGGGCCATATATCTTACTCCTGATACACTTGCTATTTTCAAGCTTAGTTCATAGTATTTCATATTGTGGAGCTAAAGTCACCAAAGCACTTTCAAACCCTTTATAATTAATTAATGAGAGGCCACCAAGTGAAGTGAATAGAGAATTGACCATCAAAGGCAGGAAGACCTGGGTACAAATTCCACTTCCTATATATCATGGCTATATGACCCTGGACAAGTCACCTCTTAGAAGGTGCCAACCTGTATTGGTAGAGGAACTTTCCTAGACCAGTGAAATTACAGGTCCAATCTCTCTCTGTCTCTGTCCCTCTGTCTCTCTTTATATATATGTGTATATTTATATTTACATTTATACATATATGTATAGACACACATAGACACACACAGACACATACATACACATACATGTGTATATAAAATATAAATTCTAAATAAATATTTATGCATATATAGTGATATAGATATTGTTCACAAAGTGTTTATATACTTTACTTCATTTGAAGTTTACAATAGGTACTGCATATATTTTATCCCGATTTTATTGATGAGGAAAGAGGTTCATAGAAGTTAAAAGATTTGTCCTGGATCATAAAGCTAATAAGTTTCTGAGGCAGGATTTGAACTCAGGTCTACCTTACCCAAAGTCCTGCCCACTTTCCCTGAAGACATAACAGCCTCCTTTGTAGCCACTCATGAATTCAAGACATGATTTCTGCTCCGCTAAATCAAGCTGCTCTAAAGCAGCAATGAAGAGTGTGTTGAAGCATGTTTTCAAGAGCACAAGAGGACACAGGAAATGCTCTGTGGCACCCAGGCTGCTTGATGCTCTGTTGCTGCCCTGGGCACTGACTCTGGCATGTTTGGTGAGGGACTAGTTCAGCATTCCAGCTTCCCTCCTGGGGATTCCTGAGGATTACCAGTAGGCATGATTACCATGTTCTAGGATTCCATCAGAAGAAGACCATGGACTGCTCCCCTCAGTTTATTAGTAAACCATTTGGATCAGATTGTTTTCTACTTCTGCTTTCCACTATCCCTACCTTCCAGTTATTCACCAACGATGACTCTATCATCCATTAATTTGTCTCTAATTTTCTTAAGCCTATTTTTGTTTTTGACCTATCCCTCTATTTAAGATAACCAGTTGCTAAAGTTTATTTTTTTCTGTAAAGTAGCACTTCCTTTTAAAAATAAACAAACAAAAAAGCCTCTTCCAAATCTCAGCAGACACATCCTTAGTATTCTAGTGTTCCAAAATGGGATATTTATCCTATGCCTATACCCTTAGTGACTTCAGTTATCTTCCCTCTCAACTTTTATCTTCCTAAACTTTTTTTAAAAGTTACTTTGTTTAAAAGTTTGTTTAACTTTTTTTAAAAGTTAGTTGTTTTTTTTTTAAAGTTTGGTATGCATTATCCACTAAAGACTTTCTCTGATTGTGATACAGGGGTAATCTGAGGGTCTTTTTTTATTTTTAATATTTTTTTGGTGAGGCAATTGGGGTTAAGTGACTTGCCCACAGTCACACAGCTAGTGAGTGTTATGTGTCTGAGACCAGAGTTGAACTCAGGTCCTCCTGACTCCAGGGCCAGTGCTCTATCCACTGCACCACCTAGCTGCCCCATCTGAGGGTCTTAAAAGTTATGTCAAGGAAGTATATAATCTCTGGCAGGTCCTAGTAAGTTGAAAAGTCTTTTCATACAGACCTAGTAACATGGCAAGACCACACTAGCTAAATTCTGGAGGCTCCTCTCCAGAGGACTAAATTCCAAGGGATTCTTAACTACTGCAACTCATGACAACCAACCATGAAGACATGGAGACGCTATGATTTGAAAGGAGTTCCTCCCCTCAGTGGATGTTCAGCTCCTTAATGTATTCAAGTGGA